ACTCATAATCTTCATCTTTCAACGAAAGCTGGGGGAAGGCGAGGGCTCTTTCATCCTATATACTGAGCTACGGCAATTGGATTCACCTGGATTTGGAAACGGGACATTCCCATCATGCAATGGAGAAAGAACGGACAATGGCAGCGTTGAGAATACTGCTCCCTTCAGGGTGAAACAAGATCCGAATCCTAAGATTCTCCTGCAGAGAAGCAGATGAGCCTTGCGAGCGCTTGGGCATCTCAGTGCGTGGGCTGGTCAGACGCACTGCGCGTGGCTGGGGCCCTGAGGGGTGCGGAGTGGTCTCGGAGCGTTAGCTTTGCCTTCCCTTATACAGACTCAGCAGCCTCCAGGAAATTCACCAGGATCCTAGTGTTGACCCAAGGCTTGCCCTCTCTCCCCCATATGGGGACCAAGCACCCCCTAACCCTGAGCTTCTGAGGTAGAACTTCAACCTCCCTATCCCAGACACCTGCCCTAGACTCTCCAAGGCAGCAGACGGAGAACGCTCATTCTTTCTCAAGGTATGACCTCTGCCTTGATTTCTGCAGCCCCCATCTCCTAGTGTGTGTGTGTGTGTGTGTGTGTGTGTGTGTGTGTGTGTGTGCATCCTAGTTGGAAGAAGAAAGGAAACACACTCATGTTTTCTCATATGCAGAATCCAGATTCAAATTCTATGTGTATTGTTGTTGCTTGCCTGGGTGCCTGTGCATTATATTCATCCAGGACCCACAGAAACCAAGAGAGGATGTCAGATTCCCTAAATCTGGAACTACAGACAGCTATGAGCCACCAAGTGGGTGATGGGAATTGAACTTGGGTCTTCTACAAGAACAAGTGCTCTTAACCCCTGAGCTGTCTCTACAGCCCCGAGAGCCTAGATTAAACTATGTACATGTGTATACACACCAGATGGCGAAGTTGGTAACATGCTTGTTACCTAGGTTGGAATCCCCAGCACCCATGTAAAGGAAAAACTAGGGTGGCAACACATACCTGTAACCCCAGCACTGGGGAGGCAGAAACAGGTGGATCCCAAGTTCAGCCAGCTCAGCCAATCAGTGAGCTCAAGGTTCCACAAGGGACCTGACCTCAGTGTGATGGACACCTGTGATCCCAACACTCCAGAGGCTGATAGGGATTTCTGGGGAGAGAAACCAAGAGGAGAAGGAATCTAGGTGCACAGGAGACACCAATGGGAAGTGGAATAAGTTGGACACACAGGACAGAGGAAAGTTAACCAAGTAACGTGATAGAACATAGAAACAGGCACGTGGTGGTGGTGGCAGCGCATGCGCAAAGGCAGGCAGCTCTTAATGAGTTTGGTGCCAGCCTGGTCTACAGAAGAGTTCCAGGGGAGCCAAGACTACACTGAGAAACCCTGTCTCAAAAAAAAAAAAAAAAAAAAAAAAAAGCAAAGAAAGGAAAAGGAAAAAATTGAAGAAACAATTAGTTACAAGAGCTAGTCAGAAAAAAGTCTAAGATTTCATAATTAATAATAAGCCTCTGTTTGGTTGTTTGCAGGCTGGTGGTCCCAACGAAAAAAATATCACTACAGCTCTCAGGAAGAGAAAGAAAAAGGAGTTTCAAAGGCACAAACAGAGTGTTGGTCACTTGGCCGTTCACTGGCGTCTTAGCTTCTCTTTTGCTATGATAAAACACCTTGACCAAAGCAACTTAGGGGGGAAGGGGGTTATACTGGCTTCCAGTGCCAGGTTATAGTTCCTCGTGGGAAAGGTCACACCAGCAGGAGCTAAACACAGCTGGTCACACTGCATCCACAGTCAAGACCCAGAGAGCAGAAATGGATGTTTGCACGGAAACCCTCGGCTCACTTTCTCCAGCCTCACACGGTCCAGGAGCCCTCTGCCCAGGAAATGGTGACTGCCGGTGTGCCTGGTGCCTGTGGAGGTCAGAAGACAGCATCGGATGCCCTGGAACTGGAGCTACGTGTTGAGGACTGGCCTTGGCAAAAATACTTATCAGGGTAGGAGTGTGGGAATTGAAGAAATATAAGTAAAGAATAAGAAGATGCATAAAAATAATAAGACAGAAACCATAGAAAGTATAGGGAGGGCATTCCAGTGACTGAGAAATTTTATATATTTCACTAATTCCTGTGATTCTGTTTGGTTTTAGTCAGTGAATTTGGTTATTGTTTATTCCTTTCTTTCTCTCCTGTACTACTAGAGGTCTCCTGGCTATGGCGGACCTCCTTCATTCATCTTTCCTCCTACAAAATTAACCTTTTCCTGTGCCTGTGATTGAGAGTGTCTTTCTCCTTAGTATGAAGTGTTCCTTTTAGTATCTTCTGCAATTCTTGCTGACTGGTCACGAGCTGCCTTCATTGGTGTCCTTGTTTTTAAAGCAGGTCTCGCCATGTGGTCCCAGCTGACCTCCAGTTCACAGAGATCCTCCTGCCTCTGCCTCCCACGTGCTGGGATTCTGAGTCTTGAAGCACCCTTCTCTCTCCATGAGTCAAAGGATATTTTTTGCAGGGGTCATCTTCTCTGGCAGTCCTTTCTCTCAGCCCTTGCAATGGATCACTCAGGGCGGCCCCCAGCTGCTAGGGCTGCTGAAGAAAGGGCTGATATGATCTCTGTGGGCTTGCCTTTGTCGGTGAGTTCTGGTTTGCTTTCTGGTGTGGGTGTACTTGGTTATTGTGAAGGTTAATCTTCATTCTTAATTTGACCTGGACTGAGAATCATCTAAGAGACATACCTTTCAGTCATGTGTGAGGAGTTCCAGAGAACTCAGAGGAGGGAAACCCTCCTCTGAGTATAAGTAACGTCATGCCATTGGCTGCAGTCCTGGAATGCGTGAAAAGGAAAAAGAGCTGGGGGATGGGGGTTCAACTCAGCTGTATTGGAGGCTCTTGCAGCAGGCTTGTTTGGTTCCCAGCACACAGAGACTTGGAACTCCAGCTTCAGGGGATCTGACCTCTGCACGTTCCTGGTGAACATACATGCACCCGAGCGCGCGCACACACACACACACACACACACACAAAATCTTTTTAAAATAATTTAGATTTTTAAAATTTTATGTATATAGGTGTTTTACCTTTGTGTATGCCTGTGCACCATGCACAGGAAGTGCCTGCAGTGGCCGGAAGAGGGGGCTGGAGCTAGTCACTAGCTTCCATGTGGGTACTGGAAGGAAATTGAACCCAACCCCTGTCCTCTGGAGCACCAAGGACTCCTAACCACTGTGCCATCTCTTCCACCCCCATATTTTTAATTAATTAAAGGGGGAATGGGTTGAGCAGCAGCATTCATCTCTGTTTCCTGACTGTGGTCTCAGTGTGTTCAGCTGCCTCATGACCCTTCCACCCTGCCTTCCGCACAATGATGGACTGTATCTTCAACTGTCGGCTAATATAAACCCTCCCTCCCTCCCTCCCTCACTCACTCACTCCCTCCCGCTAGTTGTTTTTGTTTGTTTTCAAGCATTTTTGTCACAGCAACAAAACGAATGCAGTTTAGAGCAAACACACAAAGCCACCAATGGGGCTTGTTCCCTTCCGACAGCGCCCACCACCCCCCCCCCCCCCCCCCCACCACCGCCCACCACTACCATGGCAGACACTGGCTCGCAGCTCAGATTTTCAAACAAGCTGAGTCTCAGATCTGCAACTGGGCGTAAACCTCTAACTCCTCATTGTCACCCGGAAGCCATCCCAGTTGCATAGCAGTTTTTAAATGGGGGTGTGGGGGACAGAGTTCAACAAGCACCGAGGGAAAGGCCGAGGGCCCCAGAACACACTTCCGTTCTTGACGGAGATTTAGAAAATGCGGTGGTTTGAATTTGTGCTCTCAAAGTGCCTGTGTTGAAAACTTGATTTTCTCATTTGTGTTGGCCAAGAACTTGAAGGTGAGGCTTTGGGGAGGTGTGACTGGATGAGGACGAAGGGGCACGATGACAATGGAGGCTTCAGGAGGCACCCTGCCCAGCCTGCTTTCTCTTCCTGTGAGGCCCTCTGCCATGCTTTCTTGATAGAGACACCCTGGACAGATGCCATGCTGACGCCACTACCGCGCTCTTGAACTCTCACGAGCAAGATAAACTTTTCTTTATGCTACCGAGTCTCGGGTCATTTGTCACAGGAACAGAAAGAGAACTAATGCCTCTTGCCAGCAGGTTGCTTTAAAAGGATTCCGTGGCAAAACAAGAAAACTGATCCTTGCATATTATGTGTGAGTCAGCACCCCGTATCTCTCTAAAGGCAGAATTCCCTCTCACAAGCAAGCAAACAGCACTTAGCTCCCTTAGGACGTCCTCGTCGCCTTGCTTTAGCTGGAGTTTCCTCCCACACCTTTGCTGCCTTTCCTCAACGGGACAGTACTAAAAGCAGAAGCTTCTTTGCTGCTCTCTCAGGAGGAAACAATCTTTGTGAATTTTTAAAAACTTATTTCGTATGCATTGGTGTTTTGCCTGTGTGTGTGTGTCTGTGTGAGGGTGTCTGATCCCTGGAACCGAAGTAACTGTTGTGAGCTGCCACGTGGGTGCTGGGAATTGAACCCCGGTCCTCTGGAAGAGCAACCAGTGTGCTTAACTGCTGAGCCGTCTCTCCAGCCCCACTTCTGTAAATGTTTAATGCTAAAATCGCAAATGGTCTTTATTGCATTATTGGAAACTGGGATAGCTGTGTGTTCTGCGCAGGAAGCATTCGAGCCCTGATAAATCTCGAGTAGAAATCCAAAACAATTCTTTGTATGGTTTCCTGAAGATGGCAGCTTTTCCAGGCGAATAAGGAATAAATACAGACAGGATCTCAGGCAGCAATCAGCCCACCTGAAGAAAGCTGACAAGATTGGTAATAAAGGGTCATTTTGTTCCCGCTTCACAGAGAAGAATCCAGAGCAAGATTTTCTGGCTATTTGCTAGTGTGGAATTTTCTTTCTCTTTCTTTCCTTATTTATTTTTTGATTTTTTTGAGACAGGGTTTCCCTGTGTAACAGCCCTGGCTGTCCTGGAACTAGCTCTTGTAGACCAGGCTGGCCTCGAACTCACAGAGATACACCTGCCTCTGCCTCCCGGTGCTGGGATTAAAGGCGTGCGCCACCACCATCCAGCTATGTGTGGGATTTCTTTTAAGCGTTCAATGCCTCCACCATCATTTGCCCTCCTGAGGCCCCCTGTACACAAGTGCTGCTTACATACACGCAGGCAAAAACATTTATACACAAGATCTTTTTTTTTTAATTGAAAGTGCCTTTGCCATCTGACTAACAAAACAACCATGCATTTAAGCTTTAAAGCTCTTAGGTTAAAAAAAAAAGTTCAAATATTAGACTGTTGTAATGATGTAGAATTTCCCTCTGTATGCTGTGATTACCATTAATGAATAAAGAAACTGGCTTGGACTGTTGATAGGGCAGAACTTAGGTAGGTGGGGAAAACTAAACAGAATGCTGGGAGAAGGCAGGAAGAGAAGCGATGTAACCCTGCCAGAGACAGATGTCAGAACCTTGCAGGTAGTGTTCCCAAATGTGATGGAGGGCAGAGTCCTGGCCTCAGAGGGTCACAGAACTGCCTGGCACTTGGTTTTTGGTATCTACTCCCTATTTCCACACAACAATGTTAATGGTAGTTTATCCCCATTATTCCACAGGATTCAGGATGCTGACTTCAGTATGGATACACAGGACAGCAAGGCAGTATTGATGTGTGACTTGAACTATATTGGTTTGCTCTTTCATCATGTGGCAGCTGGTAAGTATACCAGTTTATGAGGAGTAGGAGGAGGAAGAAGCTGGGTGTGGTGGCACACATCTTTCTTTAATCCTAGCACAAGGGAGGCAGAGGCAGGCAGAGTCTGAGTCCAAAGCTAGCCAACGATATGACTTTGCCTCAAAACTAAGTTGCATCCCACCTGCTCCTTGGTTGTTTAGGTGTCCAAGGTCCTTACTAAGTCCTGCTTAAGCCCAGACTCACCCAAACTTCTAGAGAGGGAAAATGATAAACTCTTAAACCTAGTTCTCTAGATAGTTAGAATGTGGGGCGGCTTCCGCTAACAGATAGCTCTCTATTAACAGATAATTGGGTGTGGGATAGGCTCTGCCAATTTTGGGGAGAAATGGCTCCTGACACTTAAATCTACCTGTTTAAAAACCACACCACAAATTCACTTAGCTCCATTTCTTTAAAGCATTTGCATCCCGACGCCATTAACTCACTTGAATACGGTCTGTCAATTCCCATCCCACATACATCTAAAGCTCAAGAAGTTATTGGAGCCATAAAAAGTGGCAATGTTTATCTTTTATCCCAGGACTCAGGAGGCTAAGGCAAAAAAAAAAAAAAAAAAAAAAAACCCTACCTTCAAGGACAGCCTGAATGTTGGGGGCATACTGGGAACACAGCTCAGTGGAGTTCTTGGCCCAAATTCAATTCCCACTATCAGAGGGATAAGGGGTAGGAATTCACTACTAAACCCACAACTGAAAGGTTTTCGAGGAAGGGTTTCTCTGCATATATTTTCCCTCCTTTAAGACAGGGTTTCCTCTATGTAACAGCCATGGCTGTCCTGGAACTAGCTCTGTAGACCAGGTTGGCCTGGAACTCCAAGATCTGCCCACCTCTGCCTCCACCACCCAGCTGAAATCTATTTCTAAAATGTACAAAATGGACTGTTTTACTTCTGTGGATTCTATACAGACATTATATATAATGTCTCGTAGCATTGATAGGGCAACAAGCTTGTTCCTAAGAACTACTTGCCCCAGTAGCGCCCATGTTGGAGTGTAGGGAAATCCATCCCAAATCACACTGTCGAAAATTTGACAAGGCAGAGTGGTGCTACAGCCAGAAGCAGGGGTTTGGACAGTGGTAGCAGTAGCCTAAAGGCACAGGGCCCCTGGTCCCAGCAATCCAAAACAAGTCAGCAAATTCTTCATCTCTTCTGTGTTGGGGCCCGTGGGTCCCAACATAGAAAACTATTGTCCCTAACTGGACTGGTACCTACTTCAATTGGCTGCAAGGGAAAAGTGGAAAATCCAGTTTTCTCTATTGTCAACTTTTCTTCATTTAGTCATTACACTTGAGTGACAAAAATACTGATAAACTTTAAAAAGAGCTCCCATCTAGAATTTGAAGAGAAAATGAGACCCGTCATGAAAGCAGAAGGCAGAGCAAATGGAATGATGTACATGAACAAATGTCACCATCAAACCTTCCTCTGTGTATTAACCAAGACATTCTTTTCCTAAAATGACAAGGCTGATTTCTGATAGCATTCTGTCGGTTCTAACTGTAGCACACACATGGGTTACAAGTTAGTTTTCATTAATGATGAGCAACAGCAAACTGTTTTTAAAATGCATGTGTTTGTGTAGGTTAAGTGTAAGCCCGTGGAGTGCTGGATCTTGTGTGGCTGTAGTCACAGATGCCTATGAGCAGCCATCATAGGCACTAGGAGGTAAGGTCTTCTGCAAAAGCAATACACTTTTTCCCCTAAATGTGTAGCCCAGGCTAGCCTCAAACTCGTGATCCTATCTCCACCTCCTTCAGCAGATCCTGCTAGCATACACAGCTGGCACAGCACACCCTTAACCACTGTCCAGCCCTCTCGTTCTGTATTTTCACTTACGATTTGATACTTATCTATTTCTGACTGCATGTTCACTGTTTTACTCAGTTTAGATCCACGTGTCAGTGTGTGTAACCACCTTAATTACAATTCCAACCATATCCTTTTGTTCAAAGTCAGATCACCAAGATGACCTAGGAGAGGGCATATGTTGCGAGACAGAGACAACTGAGACATGCGACTATCTCCAAGCTGCCAGCCACCATGCTTGCACCAGTGGTCATCAGTGTTTTCCTGTTATTTGAAGAAAATCGAGGACCTTAAAACTTTCCCGCACATCAGAGGTGGTCCCAGATAACTACTTGAAGATGCAGGCTGGAGGGAACTAACTGGGAGATGGCTGACCTAATCACGCAGAAGCTCCAAGTGCACATGCGCCAAGAGCACAAGCCCTCATGTGTTCTACCCTATTAGTATTCCCTAGCTACATAAATTCCCCAACCATGAGTCAAGACTCCCCCAATGTAATCAAGAACCACAGGCATCCAAATATAAATTTGTGAAATTTTTCTTTACAAGAAACATATAAGTCATTATAAAGTTGTAAGATTTCAAAAACAAGTTTTCTTCAGTCCAAAGAGCGTAAACAATAAAGAAAAGAAACATTGCAACAGAGGACAGCAAGGCTCTGCAACCACAAAAATCATCAGAGAAACCACAGGCCAGGAAGGTCCTCAGGACAGGGTTACTGGAAACGCCATTCACAGCAATTTCATCAAGGTCTTACTACTCTTAAAGGGTTCTGCCAAAAACAAGTATTTTTAATGAGATTAAATAAACCAAAATAATTACATTACAACTGAGTTCATGAAATGTAACATCAGTAATCCGTCACATTGAGGATGTTTAGGTTTCCAAGCACAGGTCCCTTTGTTAAGTCTGTATGTAAAGGCAGACATCAGCCCCTACCATCAGCCCTACAGTGTCTTCTGCCTGTAGTTCTTCACTGCACCTTACTACAACACGCATTCCTCTTTACAGCTCACCACGTGACACACACTTTGTTTTCTGTTGAATATAATCCTGGCACAGACTGCGCAGGTCAAACACTGAAGACAACTTCACAGTGATACTGAACACACATTTGTCATCATCTTGCTCGCTCTGAAAGGCCATCTGGTACAGCAGGGTCTGACCTAGAAAATAACTCCCGCACTAAACTGCTTACAGCCTTTTCCAGATTAACAAAGCCACGTGTGGCACTGTACAAACTTGACTTGGAAAAGAGATCACACTAGGTAAGTTTTGTTTGTAAATTTTAACAATTTAGAAAAATCAGAATACAACATTTCATGCCTATATTTTAAGGCTATTGAGGCTCAAAAGAAAGCATTAGAAATTACAAAATATTCTCACCTTTTTTTATTACAAATAGAAACTCTGCAAATGGTATTTATATTAAAGTTGCAATGTTAGGATTGCAAAATGCCCTACACCAGGTCACAAGATTCAATTAAGGAAAAATATTTACGCAAAGATTTTTCCAATTTTCTTATTTTATGAAATGGAATAGAAAAATATCTTAAATTAAAACCCCACAAAGTGCCATTCCTCTAAAAATAAAACCTCCAAATAATATATGGTTTTAATTATTCTTTATAACCTCTATATATAGTCTATATATATTAATATGTATTTCTGCAACCTGAGGCCTCCTTAGACACATCAACATGTCAGGCTTTGTATTACAAATCTAAATAGGCTAACATTTGGTTTGCCTTTAGAACTTATACGAGGATTATAAACATAAAAAACTAAAGCCGTGACTACACAGCCACTCAAAGTATTTAAACTAGCTCGACCACATTTACCCATTCTGATATTCACTCAATATTAAATATCTCATATCTATTGTTAACTGTGAATCAAGAAAAATAACTCAAAAGGCAAACAGAACACATTTAAACTATGGCAAATTCCACCATCTGCATGTTTAAAGTTTTACTGATGTTTCTTTACTTGGGGGTGGGGCAGACGTTTCAGAGTTCTCTCCCCATGTCATGTGGATCCCAGAATGGAACTCAGGCCGTTAGGCCTGTCACCAAGCACCTTTACTGTTGAGCCACTTCGATGGCCCCTACTTTATTAATATGTAAGACAGAGGGGGGAAAAAACTATAGCTATCAAGATTTTTTGGTTTCTTTTACTCAAGGTCGCACTCTGGCCTCAAACTCCTGGTAATCCTCATGCTTTGTCCTCCCAATTGCAGGCTTAGTCAGTGCACCCAGCTTTCTACTGTCATTGAGTTAGACACATTTGAAAATACTTGAGGGTTAATTATTTTCCACTTTATTTTCCTTTCATCTGAAATTCAGAATTAATGTGTAACCACATTAGTGTATGAAAAGGTTTCATAGAAAAATAAAGAACTTTAAAATTTTACAATATTTCGTATTTCAAGATTCTTTTAGATAAAACCAATGTTACTGTGGTTGAAACACAGAATCTGATTTACAGATTCTCACTTAATCCCTGTAATACAAAACAGTTGGTAAAATGGTGGGTTCAACAATATTAAGAAATCCAACATGGAAGCTCCACCCAAACACCATGTGTCTCCAGTGCCCATGGGAGTGCCTCCTGCAAAGTGCATGAGATGGCCTTCTCAGCACTGTGCACACTACCAGTGTCCCAACACTGCCGTACTAAGTACAAATAAACTGTATGGTCTACATTTACTGCTCCAAAATTTTTATCAGCTATACAAGGGAAGAACAAACATCCTTTTATGATGAAGACACTAAATACCTCAGGCTTGCAGGCCCCTGAGGTCTCACTACTCCAAAATGTATGGGGAAAATCAGGTAACATACATGAAAATGAATAAATGTGCCTGTGGGCTACAAACTGTCCAATGCTGGATGGACTAGACATGGATTTGTAAACAGAAACATAATCCTAGGCCCACCATGTGGCACAGGGCACAGGAAGCCACATGTGTCATGTGGGCACAGGAAGCGCAGAGAGCTGAGGAGGAAGAAACATTAATGGGCCACACTTTCCAATCAGACTTGAATGTGTGTCTGAGTATGTATACGTACACGTTACACAGCTAGCTTGCTTACTTCATAGTCTTCTTGGTGTGCTAGGAACAGTGTCAAACCCACATCACATCACCAGGGACCATGAATAACTGAGTACTCAGAGGCTAATCAATAACCAGCAATATGGTTTTGACATCTCAATTTTTCTATACAATGACAGTAACTAATCTGCTCTATATACACTAAAGAATGTTGGGTGTGTATTTCCAGATGTCATCTGAAAATTAAATTGAATTGTTACAATTTGAAGCTAAATGTGATTTGCTTTGTTTTATTAGAAAAAATACTCAAGCAAAGTCTACAATCATCGGTCAATTAAGAATGACTTACAAGAACATGAGACAGTAAAATAAAAATACAGGTACAAACTCTATGTCCAAAACACTTCTATTTGGCAATGTTATAACAAACCAAAATTTAAAAGGAACAAAGGAGATTGCAGAGTACTTCGCAGATATAGAATAAAACAAATGATGAAGTGCTTAAGCAAAAGAAAAAAAAAATAGAACACACTGCTTTTCTTCTTTTGAAAATAGACTCCCGTTTGCTACAGAGCACATTAGACGGCCGTTCCAGAGTGTCCTCATTGGCAGTGCTTTCCCGTGGGTCCCTCAGCAGCGATGACTCTCTCCATGCCTACCTCTTACCCCTGTCCTGTTCAAGCCTCCAATACTTTTAGTACCTTTTGTGTCTGGTTTCTCTTTTAAAAGCAAATGAGGAATGATCATGGAACCCTTCCCATTTTGGAACCAAAGGTTTAATTTTATATTGTTGTCTACTTTCTTTTAAAACACTGAGTGTAAAAACTGCTGGTTTTCCTGTCAGTGCAGGGGTGGGAACTCCCGAGGAGGAGCGCTTCTGCAGTCTAACTGCACAGCACAGCTTCACAGGATGTACTCCCACAGTGGGAACAACCACTCAGTCACTGTCAGAGGAGGGCCACGACCCTCGAGGAGAGGGTCTGGAAGGACGTCCAATGCTTTGTTCTTAGACATTAACAGTAGTACACAGTCCCTTCAGTCTGCAAAGACATCTCTTGTTAAAGGTGCTTTGTTAGCAATCCCTCTGGCAGCACTAGTGAGTTACAATTTCCTTCAATATTATTTCTACCATAATATATACATTGACTTTCATGCCTCTAGAAAACATCTACAGTACATTTCATAATAGAAAAATATATTACAAATCTGCTCAATTATTTACAAGCAACACTCTATTATCTCTATGCGACATTTGTTTGATACAGTACTGACAAGTTACACATATTTTCCATTTCTGTAAAGTTAAAAAAATTCCATATGGCTTCTTGCTTGCCAAGCAAGAAAGTGATTTTATTTTCCTTTTCAAAACCAACTTTGGTGCATAAAAGATTCGGTTTGAAGATACTTTAAAAAAAATACTTTTTTTCTTTTACATTAAGGAAAAAAACTCAAAAAAACCAACACTTTCCTCAGGAAAATAAAATTAGAGTCACAGGTTAAATGAAAATATGAAGATTATTCAAATAATTTGAAATTGCGTTTTTTTTTTTCAAAAACCATTAACAAGAGTAGTTATGTAGGTAAATATAACACACTGTACCCCATGAAAGACCCTAGTCCTGAAAAGGGAGCCAACAGACATACGGCAACACTCTAACAGTAATTCTCAGACCTAATTCAATAGACGAATTTTTAGTTGATTGCAAATGTCGTTCACTGTTTGCTTAAATACAAATTGAATATTTTTCTTATCAGAGTTCTGCAAAAGAACACAAATGGCAACCAATCACATCTATTTATCATAGCTGAAAGGTTAATTATCTCTCGATAATTTCCACTGTCTAAATATTTTCTATTAGGACTTCAAATCGATACACACTGTCAAGGTGAGTATCTTACAGTGCTTTTGGTATTTTTAAGGTCAATTGTTTGTCTTTCCAACAAAACTATCATCACTAAGGGGAAGAAAAAAAAGCAGCTTAAGCAGCAAGCATGCAAAGCCTTTCAGAAGCTGTTCAACTGAGTTGCCAGAGAGTGTCTGTGCAGTCTCCCACAGCGCCATTCCATGACATGTGGACTACAGCAATATATTAATATATTCCACAGAAGACCTACTTCATTCACAGAATGTCCACACTAAGCATAAATATTACTCTAAATACTGGACTTAAAAATAAAAGAGGAAGGGGTTGACTCTAATGTGCAACTTTCCCTAAGCCCATTGTCAGTGACTAAGACTGCAGGTGGCCCCGCTTGTTTGCTTTTATGTATTTATGTATGTTTTACCTCTTCAACCTCTTCTGTGGCATTGTTCTAGAAAAGGAAAAAGAAAGAGAAATTCTTTATTCAATTGAATCAAAAAACACTGAGTACTACTACAGAAACATTAAAAATCCTTGTAGATCTGAACGCAGTGATGATGACAGGTATTTTCAAGTGCTGCTACAAGCCTTCAGTCCCAACTACTCAAGACTGAGGCAGGGGAGTGCTTGAGCCCAGGATTTCAAGGATATCTGAGGCAGCATAGAAAAACCCTATCCCAGGAAACAAACATATATATTGAAAACAAAAGCAATTATTTCTAAAATGTACAGATAAAATGAATGTAAGTTTACATGGTTTTAATAAAAATCTCTATAATCTGATGTTTCTATTTATCAAGAGTTCCACATCTAAACATGCAATTTTAACTACTACTTTAAATGTATATTTAAATTTCAAAGAAATGCTCTTATAGTTTCATTGCAAATAAAGTATGTATCTTTAGTGGAACAGCTATTAGCAAGATATCATTGCTCAAAAAGCTGAAATAATTGTTTTCCAATCAAATTCCAGACCCTCAAACCCTAATCACACCAAGAAACACCCAATCCTTTTTATGACCGCACTACATTAAAGTACCCTGTCTCTTCCAACTTCCAGAAGAGAAGAAGCACCAAAGACAAAAATTCAGTGCTAAGGGTTGAGGGGGAGGGGGTTCGTTTTGGCTGGTTGTTTTCACAGCTAACATACAAACCAGGTGTGATGAGGCATGCCTATAAACCAAGTTACTTGGAAGACTGAGGCAAGAGAATGTGGAATTCCAAGATAGTCTGGGCTACACAGAAGCACCTAATGTCAAGAAACCTTTTAAAAAACAGAAGAATCAAGTATCTTGAACCAGCCAACTACTTCTATCAACTACTTCTGAACATAAATTCCAAGCATAAAGAATATTTTAAATCATCTTCACTAAGACATCTAAACTGCTCTGTACAAAGCACAATAGCACAAAAATAAGTTGATGTATGAAAAAAGAAGAGAACACAGATTAGAAGCACGGAGACACATCCCATCCCAGCTGTCAACTCTGAGGGTGTTTATAGCCAGTTCTAAGAGACGAGCTCTCCCAGAACACTGCTCTCCTAGGGTGCCAGTTTCAATTATCTCCCTGGTCAGCAGAATTGAATCTAAGTTATGTAACAGCAAATAAACTCCCAATCGTCTTATTTTTCCTGACACACTGAACAGCATCACAACCATGAGAGTCACAGGAGGAGCAGAGCCTCTGAAGGTATTTTTGATTACTGTCTTAGGGATGGGGGCTATAAACCAGCTGGTAGGATGCTGGGTCCCGCAGTTTAATCCCCACTACTCTAACCTATACTACTCCAAAACAGCGTATTTATGACAGTTAAAAAATATGCCAGGTGGTGGCGGCACACACCTTTACTCTCAGGGAGGAGACAGCAGGTGGATCTCTGAATTTGAAGGCCAGCCTGATCTACAGGACAGGAAAACATTCGGAAATTATCAGTATCATCTGACTTCTGGCCAACCCATTCATTCTCATGAGAAAAACATTTTATGTGGCTTCGTTCTATATGAAGTCAAGTGCCTTTTTAATCACTGGTTTAAACACCTGAGTAATCAGTCTATGTTATTTGGTTACAGCATTCATGTGTGACCTTGGACTTCATTTCCAATCTATATGCAGAGACACTGACACCAGACAGGCTGCTGTAGTGAGTACTAAGCACTTACAAAAGTGACTTCTCACCTAAGAAACACTCCTGGCTACTTCTCTTCCTAGCGTCACTATTTAGAATAGCCAGGTCAACCACGCTTAGAAATAGGAGCCTCTGAAATACTTAAGAAACACACTGCTACTTAAACTGCTCTTTGGAAAAGTTTGTGGAGAAAGGAAATGAAATACATGGCATTTAGGACACATTCATTTTAATCTCTGGCCCACAAAATTCTGACTTAAATACTGATAACCACATCTGTTTAAATTAAGGTTTACATTGATTAACATGTATGTGTGCATCTGAGTGAGTATCGTGTGTGCACTGGTGTCCAGGGGCCAGGAAGTGTGAGATTCCCCTAGAGACAGAGCTAATGTGGGTGCTTAAAACTAACCTGCGGTCCTCTGCCAAAGCAGCCATTTTCCCAGCCTCAGTATCACATTTTCAAAATAATTTCAAAATATTTGTGTATCATAATCTAAGCCCTTCAAAATAAATTTAGAATTGAACATGCATATGAACTTTATCAAACTACTGCTTCTGGATTCTAAAACTCTTAGTTCTTTGTGATATCACACCCACGCTTTTAAAAAGCACGGAATGCCAATGTGCTTATACATGCCCCAACCTAGTGGTAAGCAGCACTGACTACATAGCAAGTCTGGGTAGCCTGAGCTATACAAGACCCTGATCCCCACAAACCCTGCACCCCTCAAAAAAGTAAATAAAAAATATTACAAAGTCTATTGGACAGAGAAACCAAGAACAAGTTGATCATTTCAAGTCCAAAAATCTACCCTCCGGAAGTAGATTCTAAAGACAGAATCATCAACATGATTTGGGCATTCTGATGAAGGATGCTAAATTAGCCATGTCTAGGTAAAATGAAAACAAAAGCTCAGCATTTGGATAAAGAGTACTCAATATGTACTGAAAAATCAACCCCAACTTATGCAAAATTTAGAAAACTTCAAGATAGCAATTCAAAATGGAAAGCATATTGTCATGAAGTCAATTACCTGTAAATGTTTGGGTCCAACAGCAAGGCAGTATCTTTGGGCAGCTTTGATAAATGAACTACTTTAGTTTTTAACTGATGTCGTTCACTTTCATTCACCCACACATCTGGCAGACTATGAATTAAAGAAAAGTCAATAATTTGCAATTGTCCCAGATTAATTGTCCCTTGGTCTTCATACTCTCTAGCCTTTTCTGTCCCTTTCTTTGACAGGGACACCTATGTACTTCTGCAAAGACCGATGTTCAGGCCATCTATACTCAGGAGCCAGACACAGACCACGGCACACAGTAGGGCAGACCAGGAATTTGTATAATGTGGCTTCTAACTGAGAGAAGTTAGTGAAAATCTAACTATTTCTTCACTAACAAAGGAAAACTCCATCAATCCATGAGCTCAGCAGTACAGCAAATACCAAGAGTACCAAGGACAGAGAGGTCCCCTCATGAGACTGAGCCCATATGAAAGGAAAAAAAATAAAATGTATATGTAACCAAATTCTGAATTTGAAGATATTTAAAATTCAAAGTACTTTA